TGCGAAACTGCCCTGGTCTCCCCTGTGTATATGTCATACAGAAATTATGAAACTAATGGGACTTTTTATTGAAATATACATGTTACAATGTATATATAAATTATTTATAAATTATTTATAAATTAAAATTAGATTAACAACCCAACAAAATTGATGGGCACTGTATGATTTTAAGTTAAATAACATTATTGTTTCTGATGTAGGAAGAAGTTCTTTCGTTGTACTGAATATCAGCTAAGTCCTAAAATATATCGGAGAAAACGAGTTCATACCTTATTAAATCTAAGTATACATGTAATAGTATAACAATTGCATTGAAAATGTTTATTTGCTTTCTTTTTTAACGTATAACAAAAATTGTATGTGTAATAACTATATCATTATAGTACCAATACTGTTATAACTTTACAATTTTACGCGGATTATCACGACAATTATGTAGTAAGTTAGTTACGGCTAACAGTTGTTATTAATTATATCTATATATCATAAATATCTGAAAGACATCTTAGAGATGTCTGAACAATACTCTATTTGTTACAGACGTCTTTATAATGTCTCCAAGATATATTTTAGACATTTGCGCTGTTTGGATATTTATTGTTTGCTTGAAAAAAAATTTGTATGTGTTAACAATAGTAAAGCCGCTTCAAGTCTTAATATATATCTTTTTTTGTATTATTTAATTATATAAATATTTTTATATAAATATTGAAAGCCGCATATTTATCTCTATATATTAATCAGAAAATCATCGTTCCATTATTTTTCATACAAACATGCTTCTGCGAATGAGAAACAAATTTTTCAATTTGTAATATGTTTTTTTAATAACACCTATAATATTATTTTTAAAACATATGCATTTTAGATGAGAGATAGCTATGTTATTATTTTTCTGATTAAATTGAAGCAATTTCATTTTATGCATCACATTTGCCATATTGTTTACCTCCACTAACAAAAATTTCTATTTTGTTACACTGGCAGTTACAATTTATCTTGTCAACAACTTTCTCGTTATATACAATCATACTTGTATCCGTTATTAGTGTCCTTTGTATTATTATCAGCTAAACATCTATATATAACTCGCATATATATGTTGTTATATTCAGTGCGTTGTCTAGCTTCGCGCATTATACCGAAATAAATATCACAAATAAAATATTCATAAACGTTAATTACTAAGAAATATCGCGATGAATACAGATAAAATAATAACTTTTGATGGACCGTACACAATAGACAAATATAATCGGTTTTTCAATCCAAACGTTTGTCATGTTTGCAAACTGCCCAGCAGACATTTAGGAACATGTACTAAATGCCATATGATTTCTTATTGTTCCATTGAGCACCAAATGTTACATAAATATTCACACTTGAAATTCTGCAAAATTCTATCCAGCGCAATAACAGACAAATCGGATTGGAGCATACAACGCAACTGGTGCAACTGGCTAATATCACGGGCGCTAATTATAACAAAAATAAGTCAGCCATTAAGTCAGCTCGAATGGGATACGATATTATTGGCAAAATCGTGTTATAAGTGTCACCGACAGATAAGTATAAAGCCATGCGTCATTTGCTATTCAGCTAATTTTTGTGATGATCACCAAATGCTATTTAATCTAGAACACAAGGATATCTGTAAAGAGCTGTTACTATTATTGAACATTGATATCGTCTGTATGAAAGGCGATATTTTGCATTTATGTCTAGATAAATTGGAGTTAACCACATTTCCAGATGCTAGACCTTATAATGACATGATTACATTTATTAATAAATATTTAGTTATGGAAAATTTAAATAATAATCAAACAGAACTTCACTTCCCTACTCAAACTTTGTGGTCATTAGAACATTATATGTGTTCGGATATATTAAGCAGTCCTCTGACTTTATACTACGCGTTACAAAAATCAAAATTATTATTTTTTCCATATACTGCTTGTAAATTTACCGTCCATATTATAGAGGCAAGTACAATAGATGTAACGTGTTTAAAAGTTTGGCATATTTTCCTACATCTCTTTTCTGATATAAAAGAACTATATATTGTATTTATAAATTCGCCAATATTCGAATCGTGCGAACTAGGGAGCGTTTGTTCAAGATGCCGTAATTATAATCAGAAACTTTATGTTGAACATGTATCAGAGCCGTACCACAGATATGCGGGCTTAAAGTCATTTAAACAACCTAATGTGATCATAATACTTGACACAGATATATATTCGTTGAACAACGAAGGACCAAGCGTTGAATCTGTAACAACAGTAATAGCACAAAAATGTCCGTTACTTCTAACCATTCATCCTGAAGCTAGAATGTTTTTAAGAAAAAAAATAGATACAAGCAGAACTCGATTGTACAAGAAAAATAAATTCTGTGGTTATAGGCCATATAGAAACCTTGCGACTGGTGGAGTGTATTACCGAAATGCGTATTTTATTATGTATTCATAAATTTAAATCACATAACCGACTCAGTGGCTGAAGTTCAGAAGTTGTTTCATCATAGTTTTTATAGTATAATATTGTAGATGTTTCTGTCAATTTTTAACGATATTCGTAGATAAGTAATGAACTTCTTAGTGAGATATATATATTCAGTCGAAAATTTTTTGTATTTTGATTCTTACCTTTTGGAAATATGTAAAATATATTTATGTGACGTAATAGAATGATTGCCGTACACACACAGAGTATATAAAACTTTTGTAATTCGCATACTATTCGTACACTATATTCCATAGTTATAAATATTATATTCCAAATTTCTGTACTCAGCAATAAGTAATTATTTTGTAAGTACCTTCTTCATTGTACGTGTTCTGCAGGTGATAAGTGGTAAAAACTTTGGCAATATATTTTATATGAATTAATAATCTTTATGTTATAATATAATCTTAATATAATATATATATATCCTTATAATATAATATATCTTTATGTTATGTTATATTTATATAAATTAATATAATCCTTATGTTATACTTTTTAAACAATATACGTAACTCATTGAATGTTTCACGATTTTTATATTTTAAACTGTCAAATCATATTAAAAAGTATAAAAACGAAAACTTGGAATTATTAGTATCTTCCAAGTTTTCATCTGGTATTGTAAATTAAATACATGTATAATCATAGTCGCCAATGAAATGTAGACTTTTTAATAGCATACATACATTAATAAATAAATATTATATATCTTCCCACTTTTTCTGTAAAATTTTTAGCATATGTACACTTTGTCTTAATATGTTTTAAACATATTGCCAATGCATTTTTAAATATTGTCAACGATTATACGAGAGAACTCAAATTCTAGAAATTAGTTAAAATCTATAAAAAATGTTAATCATGAATTTTCATATCAGACAACTGGCTATGTTCTAAAATGCATTGTTTAAAAAAATTAAACTTATTATTTAAGTAAGATGTATAAATGACTGTAGAGATGTTTGAATAAATAATCCAAATAATTATAGATAGAGTTAAAATACAATTTTAAATTAATTAATTTTTCATTCTTTTGTGGTTTTGTAAGTTTGATATAAAATTATTCGAAATAATATTTTGTTCGGCGAAAGGCCTTATATAAACTAACTTTAACAAATTTAGTACCATAAAAAATGGCAACGCATAAGAGATATATCCGATGTTGTAATTTTTACAAATTTTAATAAGGAAAAATACTAAAATATACATGAAACGAATTGTTCATTTTACGGTGAAAATATTATATTGCGCATTTTGGTTTAAAAGCGATGATTTTAGTCTGTTTGACAAACTACATCCTGGAGTCCTCGGAAATGCGACAACGATGATTTAGAACAATTGCTCGTTGCAAATTTGGCATAAACGCAAAAAGTGCAGAAGAGTTGGGAATAATGCAACAACCTATTTCCAAATAGGAAAGATCAAAAAATGAGAAAAGTGTATTACCCGACAACTCATCGATGCCATAAAAATCTAGCCATGACAGCTCTTCTTTTCTCAATAAACAACGTGTAAGCAACGTATAAAGACTTTTTATGGAAAATCATTAAGGGTGATGAAAACTTGAATCTCTACAATCTTAAACGTATAAAGTCATGCGTATATTCCGATTATCAAGCATCTTATCTGGTCGCAAATCCTAAACAAATGAAGGTTCTGCTCTGCATTTGGAGGGATATCAAGGGCGCGGTTTATTATGAGTTATTCGAAATATTATTTTGGAACCGGTTGAAAGTGCGAATTGCTACAAACTCTAATTATAGTACCTATGTTATATTAAGTTTAAAATTTCTCGCGAAGTATCATATGCATTATTATGTAGCAAGTTAGTTGCGACTAACGTTGTTAATTCTGTCTACGTATATATCATAAATATCTAAAAGACATTTTAGAGAGGTCTGAACAATACTCTATTTATTGAACATATCTTTATAATGTCTCTAAGATGTCTTTTAGACAATTGTGCTGTTTAAATATTTCCATTTATAGTTAAAAGAAATTTATATGTATTCACAACACAGCTCCTCAACTTTTAATATATATCTTTTTCCGTAGTTATTATTTAATTATATAAAATTTTTTATAAATATTGGTAGTCGCATATTTATCTCAATATATTTTTCAGAGAAACATCATTTCTTTGTTCTTCAAATAAAGATACTTCTGCGAAAGAGTAACATATTTTTAATGTAACATGTTTTTTTAATAACACTTATAAATACTATTCCCAAAACGTATCGGCATTGTACCACTAATAACTATTTCATTGCCTTTCTAGTCAAATTGAAACAATTCCATTGTATGTATCACATTTGCCATATTGTTTCCTTCTACTAACGAATACTTCTACTTAGTTATATTGGCAGTTACAATTTATCATGTCAACAATTTCCTTGTTATGCACAAACATACTTGTATACGTTACTAGTATCCTTTGTATTATTATCAACAAGACATCTATATATAATTCGCACATATGTTTCTGTTATATTAGGTGAGTTGTCGAGCTTCGCGTATTATATCGAAATAAATATTACAAATAAAATATTCATAAATATTCATTCCTAAGACATATCGCGATGAGTGTTGGCGAAATAATAACTTTTGATGGACCATACACAACAAACAAATATAATCAGTTTTTCAATCCAAACACTTGTCATGTTTGCAAATTGCCCAGCAAAAATTTAATACCATGTAATAAGTGCTATATGGTTTCTTATTGTTCGAAGAAGCATCAAAAGATACATGAAGACACACATCTGGTATTCTGCAGAAATCTAGCAAGGATAATAAGAGACAAATCGGATTGGAACACATGTCATGATCGGAGAAAATGGGTGGAATCAAGGATGGCAATTATAATAAAAATAGCTAATATCACAATATACGAACATGATTTAGAAATAATAATTCGCGCAAAATCGTGTTTTAAATGTTATCGACAGATAAACATAAAGCCATGCGTCATTTGCTATTCAGCTAATTTTTGTGATGATCACCAAATGCTATTTAATCTAGAACATAAGGATAACTGTAAAGAGCTGTTACTATCACTGAACATTAATATCGCTTGTATAAAAAACAATATTATGGATTTATGCCTAGGTAAATTGGAGTTTACCAAATTCCCTGATGCTAGACCTTATCATAACATGATTACATTTATTAACAGATATTTAGTCATGGAAAATCTAGATAACAATAAAAAAAAATTGTATTCCCCTATCCAAAGTTTCTGGACATTAGAACATTATGTGTGTTCGGATTATGTAACTGGTCCTCTGACATTACATTACGCGTTACAAGAATCAAAATTGTTATTTCTTCCGCGTAATGATTATATATTTATCGTCCATATTATAGATGCAACTAAAACAGATGTAATGTGTTTAAAAGTTTGGCATATATTCCTACATCTCTTTTCTAATATAAAAGAATTATATATTGTATTTATAAAACCGCCAATATTCGATTCGTGTGAACTAGGGACTGTTTGTTCAAGGTGTCGTAATTATAATCAGAAACTTTATGTTGAAAATGTATCAGAACCGTATCACAGATATGCGTGCTTAAAGTCATTTAAACAACCTAATGTGATCATAATACAAGACACAAATTTGTTTATGGTAGGAACCTGGTGTGAATCTATACCAACAATAATAGCACAAAAATGTCCGTTACTTTTTACAGCTTTTCATAAAGATAAAATAAAATCCGTCACAACAAAGATGCAAGAAGTAACAGGTGCAACAAGTAATCAACTGTACAGAAAAAATAAATTCCGCAGTTGTAGGCCACATAGAAACTATGTGACTCATGGAGTGAATTACCATAATGAGTATTTTATTATGTATTCATGAATTTAAATCACTTAACCCAACCAATCACAGGCTGAAGATCAGGAGTTATTTTATCATAGTTATCATTTCAGTATAATATAGTATTGTAGATCGCGGGTGTTTTTTAGGTAATAGGTCATAGAATATTTGCAATATATTTTATATGGATTATAATCATTATGTTGTATCTTTTAAACAATATATATAACTTATTGAATGTTTTACGATTCTTATGTTTTAAACTGTCAAAGTATATTAAAAAGTATAAAATTAAAAATTTGGAACTATTAATATCTTCTGAGTTTTCATCTCTTATTTTAAATTAAGTACAAGTTTAAACAAAGTTGCCAATAAAATCCAGATTTCTTAATATTATGCATGCATTAGTAAATATATATTATGTATCTTCCCCTTTTTCTTTAAAATTGTAGCACATTTATATTTTGTCTCAATATTTTTTGAACATTTTGCCAATACATTTCTAAAGATAACCAACAATCCAAGAAGTCTCAAATTCTAAGAATTAGTAAAAATTCTGATTCTGGCCTGTACTTGGATATTTAATTACTTCGTTTTTTACTGTTCGTGTGATATTTGTGTATTGTGCATGGTAGCTGAATAATTGCAACATTTTATATGGATTACATTCTTCATACTTTACGTAGTACCAGAATCTATAACTCATTACACTGACATTACAATAAAAATTGCCAAAAAAATATTGAAACATAGAAAAACATATCCGAAACTATTATTGGTGCCATCGATTATTATATATTATTTGTATCTGTAAACATAGCTGGAAACAAAATTTTTTTTTAATATTTTTATTTGCAAATATATTATATTTTCTCCCTTCTTCCTGTAAATATATAACATATGCGCAGTTTGTTTCAATATAAACACATCTCCTATGTGCGCTTGAACGTAATAAACTATCCAATGACAAAACTTAACTTTAGGTAATTACGTAAAAACTTAAACAATATACAAAAAACGAAATGTACATCTCACATAGTGTTAAACGTGTATTGTTTTTATATACGATTCATACGTCTTACCTTGCGTAGGGTCTTGCTAAGCTTTTCAGTATCTATTTTAGTATATAGTAGAATCATACATTTAGTAAAGCGAAGATTTAGTAGATCATTCTCCCTTGCGTAGAGATCTTGTTAATCTTTTCGGTATTAACGATTTTTAATATATTGGAGACTCATTTATTTAGTAAGCTGAAGATTTAATAGATATATTCATAGGAACATAGATATATTCAATTGGAACATAAGTTTCGGTCTACAACCTCGCTTTAAGCTTTAATCATAAGCAACTACTAACTGACTAAACACAATCGATTATTCTTGAGAAGTAAGGAAAATAATTGACTATGGTTGATCAGTTGCTTAAGACTTAAAGCTTAAAGCAAGGTTGTAGACACTAATGCGTCGTCTACAATGGCAGTAAGAGTAGTAGTAGTAAGAAATAAGCAGTACGTAAACAGACCAATCACATTCGATTATTTTTTTATCGTGAGAAAGGAATAGGTCTATTTGCTTACTGCTTATTTCTTACTACTACTCCTACTGCTAATATAGACGACGAATAAGTCATCTAAAAGACGTCTTAAAGACGTCCCTTAGACGTCGGAATATCAGACTCGTGTCCCGATTTTAGACGTTGTGCGAAAAAGTTCTTTCGTAATATAGACTATCGGCTATATCTTCAAATGTATTGGAGAAACCCAGTTCATACCCTATTAAATCATAATATACATATAGTAATATAATGATTGCACTAAATATGTTTCCTTGCTTTCTTTTCCAACAAATTAATAATAAAAATTGTATGTGCAATAACTCAATCATTATAATATCTATGCTATATTATAACTTTACAATTTCACGCAGAGTATCATTTACATCATTATGTAGTAAGTTGCGACGAAAGTTGTTAATTCTATCTATATCATAAATGTCTAAAAGACATCTTAAAGACGTCTGACGATATTATATTTATTGTAGACGTCTTTGTAATGTGTTTAAGATCTTTGACGATATATATTTATCGTAGACGTCTTTAAGATGTGTTTTAGATATTTGTGATGCTTGCATATTTTCTTTAACGCTTGAAAAAAATTTGTATTAACAACACAGCTGCCTCACGTTAATATAGATCTTTTCTTCATAGTTATTACTTAATTATACAAAAATGTTTATGAATATTGATAATCGCATATTTATGTCCATATATTTATGTGAAAGCATTTTTTTGTATGTTTTTCAAACAAAATATTTTTTGCGAAAAAGCAACAAACTTTTTAATGTACTATTTAAGGTATGTTTTTTTAGTGACGCTTATAAATATTATTTTTAAACATATCCGTATTATAAGAGTGATAACTATTTCATTGTTCTTCTAGTGAAATTGTAGCAATTCAATTGTATATACTATATTTGCAATATTGTTTCTCTCCACTAACAAACACTTCTAGTTTGTTATATTGAAAGTTACAATTTATTTTGTCAACAACTTTTTCGTTACATACAAACATACTTGCATCCGTTATTAGTGTCCCTTGTATTATTACCGGCTAAACATCTATATATAACCACCATACATGTTTCAGTTATATTCGATGAGTTGTCGAGCTACGAGAATAATACCGAAACAAATATTACAAATAAAATACTCATGAACGTTAATTACTAAGAAATATCGCGATGAGTACATGTGAAATAATAACTTTTAATGGACCATACTCAGCAGACAAATATAACCAGTTTTTCGATCCAAACATTTGTCATATTTGCAAACTGCCCAGCAGAAGCTTAAGAATATGCCTACCTTGCTGGATCTTTAGGTCATCGTTAAGATGTATTTTGAATATTGTGCTGTGTGAATTCTTTTCCATATAAATATAATTTGTTATCATAGATATAAGTAATTTTTGATAAACTTCCGAAAACTACCCACGCCCGATTGGCATAAATTTTGGCAAAAATACTCCAAATGATATCAATTAAATGTCCGTAAATGGATTTCCACCGACAAAAACGTTTAATACCAAAAATGTTTAAATAAATTTACATATCTCTATTCGTACTATGCTCCTTTCCTAGACAAATCTACGAATTTTAGATCGATATAATATTTGTTGCGATGAAATATTTGTTGATTTAAATATGTAAATGTCATGTTTACAATCGTAAGTCACCTATCTGTGTATTACACGCGAAACATGTATGGATCATATTTAGCATCGTAACACAGAGCAAAATTCTTAGATTTGTTTAAGAAGATTTAGACATCTCACCTCCGATTATGAAGTCTGTCACATCGACATTTCTATAAATATATCTATTAAATCTTCACCTTACTAAATAAATGAGTCTCCAATATATTAAAAATTGTTAATACCGAACAAGATCCCTACGCAAGAGAGAATGATCTACTAAATCTTCGCCTTACTAAATGTATGATTCTACTATATACTAAAATAGATACTGAAAAGCTTAGCAAGACCCTACGCAAGGTAAGACGTATGAACCGTATATAAAAACAATACACGTTTAACACTATGTGAGATGTACATTTCGTTTTTTTTAGAATGTTATCAAACCGGGGGAAGGGATGACTTCGCCGCCTCACACCCCCTTAGACAACAAGTTTATCGTTTGCAATGTTTAAATAATGCTAATGTTTCAATAAGGCTTCGTTACTTATACATGTTCAAATATATTTCTAATTCGTGCACTGTTTGTATGTACAAGTGGCCACAGATATTTACTATAAAAATCGTAAGTCTCCCTTAAAATCTTGTATACATGTCTTTTTGTAACTATTTCTTTCAAGTACCACAACAAGAAACAACGGTTTCTTATGGAGTAGCACTTTTGTACATAACAAACTTTTGAACAAAGTCCTTGATAATTTACTACATAACATATATTATACTTACATTTTTTTGTATGTTTTTCAAACAAAATATTTTTTGCGAAATAGCAACAAATTCTTTAATGTATTTTTTAAAGTATGTTTTTTTAATGATACTTATAAATATTATAATATTTTCAAACATATCCGTGTTATACAAGTGATAATTATTTCATTGTTCTTTAAAGTGAAACATTATATAATACATATTGTACTTTCTCAATTACATTATACATTGTATTACTTACATTATATATTGTATTTATACTAACATATTCTATATTGTATTTTCTCAATTTCTGCTCAATTTCTTCTGTATTTTACAGGTAAATTACTTTTCATACTCCCTCTCTCTCCCATTGATTATTACTATCACAATGACAACAAATATCTTTAGCAAAAAATGATTGCCACAGAAAAAATTCGGAAAAGTCTGAATTATAAATAATTACCTCTGTAGATTTGTTTCTCTTATTAACGTATTATAAAAATTGTATGTGCCACAACTCGATTATTATAGTATCTGTGTTATACTATAAATTTACAATTTTCCGTGGAATATCATATGCATCATCATGTAGTAAGTTAGTTGCGACAAAAGTTGTTAATTCTATCTATATATCATAAATATCGAAAAAACATCTTAGAGACACCTGAGCAATACTATATTTGTTGTAGACATCTTTATAATGACGCTAAGATGTGTTTTATAAAATTGTGCTATTTAAATATTTCCTTTTATAGTTAAAAGAAATTTATATGTATTCACAACACAGCTCCTCAACTTTTAATATATATCTTTTTCCGTAGTTATTATTTAATTATATAAAATATTTTATAAATATTGGTAGTCGCATATTTATCTCAATATATTTTTCAGAGAAACATCATTTTTTTGTTCTTCAAATAAAGATACTTCTGCGAAAGAGTAACATATTTTTAATGTAACATGTTTTTTTAATAACACTTATAAATACTATTCCCAAAACGTATCGGCGTCGTACCACTAATAACTATTTCATTGTCTTTCTAGTCAAATTGAAACAATTTCATTGTATGCATCACATTTGTCATATTATTTCTCTCGACTAAGGAATACTTCTAGTTATATTGGCAGTTACAATTTATCTTGTCAACAATTTCCTCGTTACTTACAAACATACTTGTATACGTTACTAGTGTCCTTTGTATTATTATCAGCAAAACATCTATATATAATCCGCACATATGTTTCTGTTATATTCCATTAGTTGTTGAGCTTCGCGCATTATATCAAAATAAATATTACAAATAAAATATTCAAAAACGTTAGTTACTAAGACAAATCACCATGAGTGTTGGCGAAATAATAACTTTTGATGGACCATACACAAGAAACAAATATAATCAGTTTTTCAATCCAAACATTTGTCATGTTTGTAAATTGCCCAGCAAACATTTAATACCATGTAATAAGTGCTATATAGTTTCTTATTGTTCCAAAAAGCATGAAAAGATACATGAAGACTCACATCTGGTATTCTGCAGAAATCTAGCAAGGATAATAGGAGACAAATCGGATTGGAACACATGTCGTGATTGGAAAAACTGGGTGCAATCTCGATTGGAAATTGTAAGAAAAGTATGTCAGAACATAATGTACCCGCAAGATTTCGAATTAATCATATGCGCAAAATCGTGTTTTAAATGTTATCGACAGATAAACTTAAAACCATGCGTCATTTGCTATTCAGCTAATTTTTGTGAGGATCACCAAATGCTATTTAATCTAGAACATAAGGATAACTGTAAAGAGCTGTTACTATCACTGAACATTAATATCGCCTGTATAAAAGACAATATTTTGCATTTCTGCCTAGGTAAATTGGAGTTTACCAAATTCCCTGATGCTAGACCTTATCATAACATGATTACATTTATTAACAGATATTTAGTCATGGAAAATCTAGATAACATTAAAAAAAAATTGTATTCCCCTATCCAAAGTTTCTGGACATTAGAACATTATGTGTGTTCGGATTATGTAACCGGTCCTCTGACATTACATTACGCGTTACAAGAATCAAAATTGTTATTTCTTCCGCGTAATGATTATATATTTATCGTCCATATTATAGATGCAAGTAAAACAGATGTAATATGTTTAAAAGTTTGGCATATTTTCCTACATATCTTTTCTAATATAAAAGAATTATATATTGTATTTATAAAATCGCCAATATTCGATTCGTGTGAACTAGGGACTGTTTGTTCAAGGTGTCGTAATTATAATCAGAAACTTTATGTTGAAAATGTATCAGAACCGTACCACAGATATGCGTGCTTAAAGTCATTTAAACAACCTAATGTGATCATAATACAGGACACACATTTGTATATGGTAGGAACCTGGCGTGAATCTATACCAACAATAATAGCACAAAAATGTCCTTTACTTTTTACCACTTTTGATATAGGCGAATTAAATTACGTTAGAGAAAAGATGCAAGAAGTAACAGGTGCAACGAGAAATCAACTGTACAGAAAAAATAAATTCCGCAGTTATAGACCATGTAAAAACCGTATCATTAATGGATTGTATTACCGAAATGCGCATTTTATTATGTATTTATGATTTTAAATTATTTAACCCAACCAATCACAGGCTGAAGATCAGGAGTTATTTTATCATAGTTTTCAATTAAGTATAGTATAGTATTGTAGATCATCCGTGTCCTTTATGTAATGAGTGATAAAATATTTGCAATATATTTTATATAGATTATAATCCTTATGCTGTACCCTTTAAACAATATACGTAACTCATTGAATGTTTTACGATTTTTATGTTTTAAACTGTCAAAGTATATTAAAAAGTATAAAATTAAAAACTTAGAACTATTAATATCTTTCGAGTTTTGTATCTGTTATTGTAAATTAAATACAAGTTTAATCAAAGTTGCAAATAAAAACAAGATTTTTTAATATTATGCATGCACTAGTAAATATATCTTATGTATCTTTCCGCTTTTTCTGTAAAATTGTAGCACATATACATTTTGTCCCAATATTTTTTGATCATTTTGCCAATGCATTTCTAAAGATAACCAACATATAAAATGTCTCAAATTCTAGGAATTAGTAAAAATTCTGATACTGCATAGTACTTATATTTCATTACTTCGTTTTTTACTGTCCATGTGATTTTTGTTTATTGTGCATAATAACTGAATAATTGCAACATATTTTATATGGATTACATTCTTTATACTTTACGTAGTACCAGAATCTATAACTCATTCCATTGATATTACAATAAAAATTGCCAAAAAAATATCGACACATACAAAAACATATCCGAAACTATTATTGGTGCCATCGATTATTATATATTATTCGTAACTGTAAATCTAACTGCAAATAAAATTTGAATTTTTAATAGTTTTATTTGCAAATATATTATATTTTCCCCCTTCTTCCTTTAAATATATAACATATGCACAGTTTGTTTCAATATGAACATATCTCCTATGCGCGTTTGAACATAACACATAATCCAATGACTAAACTTAACTTTAGGTAATTACATAAAAACTCAAATATAAAATAGGAACATAAGTTTCGGTCTACAACCTCGCTTTAAGCTTTAAATCATAAGCAACTACTAACTGACTAATCACAATCGATTATTCTTGAGACGTAAGGAAAATAATTGACTATGGTTGATCAGTTGTTTAAGGCTTAAAGCTTATAGCGAGGTTGTAAATACTAATGCGTCGTCTACAATGGCAATATGAGTAGTAGTAATTAGTAGTAGTAATAAGAAATAAGCAGTAAGTAAATAGACCAATCACAATCGATTATTTTTTAAACGTGAGAAAGGAATTGATCAATTTGCTTACTGCTTATTTCTTACTACTATTCCTACTGTCAATATAGACGACGCATAAGACGTCTTAAAAACGTCCTTTAGACGTCGGAATATCAGACTCATGTCCCGATTTTAGACGTTGTGCGAAAAAGTTCTTTCGTAATATCGGCTATATCTTCAAATATATTGGAGAAACCGAGTTCATACCCTATTAAATCAAAATATACATATAGTAGTATAATGATTGCACTAAATATGTTTCCTTGCTTTCTTTTCTACAAATTAATTATATAACAAATTAATAATAAAAATTGTATGTGCAATAACTCAATCATTATAATATCTATGCTATATTATAACTTTACAATTTCACGCAGAGTATCATTTACATCATTATGTAGTAAGTTGCGACGAAAGTTGTTAATTCTATCTATATCATAAATGTCTAAAAGACATCTTAAAGACGTCTGACGATATTATATTTATTGTAGACGTCTTTGTAATGTGTTTAAGATCTTTGACGATATATATTTATCGTAGACGTCTTTAAGATGTGTTTTAGATATTTGTGATGCTTGCATATTTTCTTTAACGCTTGAAAAAAATTTGTATTAACAACACAGCTGCCTCACGTTAATATAGATCTTTTCTTCATAGTTATTACTTAATTATACAAAAATGTTTATGAATATTGATAATCGCATATTTATGTCCATATATTTATGTGAAAGCATTTTTTTGTATGTTTTTCAAACAAAATATTTTTTGCGAAAAAGCAACAAACTTTTTAATGTACTATTTAAGGTATGTTTTTTTAGTGACGCTTATAAATATTATTTTTAAACATATCCGTATTATAAGAGTGATAACTATTTCATTGTTCTTCTAGTGAAATTGTAGCAATTCAATTGTATATACTATATTTGCAATATTGTTTCTCTCCACTAACAAACACTTCTAGTTTGTTATATTGAAAGTTACAATTTATTTTGTCAACAACTTTTTCGTTACATACAAACATACTTGCATCCGTTATTAGTGTCCCTTGTATTATTACCGGCTAAACATCTATATATAACCACCATACATGTTTCAGTTATATTCGATGAGTTGTCGAGCTACGAGAATAATACCGAAACAAATATTACAAATAAAATACTCATGAACGTTAATTACTAAGAAATATCGCGATGAGTACATGTGAAATAATAACTTTTAATGGACCATACTCAGCAGACAAATATAACCAGTTTTTCGATCCAAACATTTGTCATATTTGCAAACTGCCCAGCAGAAGCTTAAGAATATGCCTACCTTGCTGGATCTTTAGGTCATCGTTAAGATGTATTTTGAATATTGTGCTGTGTGAATTCTTTTCCATATAAATATAATTTGTTATCATAGATATAAGTAATTTTTGATAAACTTCCGAAAACTACCCACGCCCGATTGGCATAAATTTTGGCAAAAATACTCCAAATGATATCAATTAAATGTCCGTAAATGGATTTCCACCGACAAAAACGTTTAATACCAAAAATGTTTAAATAAATTTACATATCTCTATTCGTACTATGCTCCTTTCCTAGACAAATCTACGAATTTTAGATCGATATAATATTTGTTGCGATGAAATATTTGTTGATTTAAATATGTAAATGTCATGTTTACAATCGTAAGTCACCTATCTGTGTATTACACGCGAAACATGTATGGATCATATTTAGCATCGTAACACAGAGCAAAATTCTTAGATTTGTTTAAGAAGATTTAGACATCTCACCTCCGATTATGAAGTCTGTCACATCGACATTTCTATAAATATATCTATTAAATCTTCACCTTACTAAATAAATGAGTCTCCAATATATTAAAAATTGTTAATACCGAACAAGATCCCTACGCAAGAGAGAATGATCTACTAAATCTTCGCCTTACTAAATGTATGATTCTACTATATACTAAAATAGATACTGAAAAGCTTAGCAAGACCCTACGCAAGGTAAGACGTATGAACCGTATATAAAAACAATACACGTTTAACACTATGTGAGATGTACATTTCGTTTTTTTTAGAATGTTATCAAACCGGGGGAAGGGATGACTTCGCCGCCTCACACCCCCTTAGACAACAAGTTTATCGTTTGCAATGTTTAAATAATGCTAATGTTTCAATAAGGCTTCGTTACTTATACATGTTCAAATATATTTCTAATTCGTGCACTGTTTGTATGTACAAGTGGCCACAGATATTTACTATAAAAATCGTAAGTCTCCCTTAAAATCTTGTATACATGTCTTTTTGTAACTATTTCTTTCAAGTACCACAACAAGAAACAACGGTTTCTTATGGAGTAGCACTTTTGTACATAACAAACTTTTGAACAAAGTCCTTGATAATTTACTACATAACATATATTATACTTACATTTTTTTGTATGTTTTTCAAACAAAATATTTTTTGCGAAATAGCAACAAATTCTTTAATGTATTTTTTAAAGTATGTTTTTTTAATGATACTTATAAATATTATAATATTTTCAAACATATCCGTGTTATACAAGTGATAATTATTTCATTGTTCTTTAAAGTGAAACATTATATAATACATATTGTACTTTCTCAATTACATTATACATTGTATTACTTACATTATATATTGTATTTATACTAACATATTCTATATTGTATTTTCTCAATTTCTGCTCAATTTCTTCTGTATTTTACAGGTAAATTACTTTTCATACTCCCTCTCTCTCCCATTGATTATTACTATCACAATGACAACAAATATCTTTAGCAAAAAATGATTGCCACAGAAAAAATTCGGAAAAGTCTGAATTATAAATAATTACCTCTGTAGATTTGTTTCTCTTATTAACGTATTATAAAAATTGTATGTGCCACAACTCGATTATTATAGTATCTGTGTTATACTATAAATTTACAATTTTCCGTGGAATATCATATGCATCATCATGTAGTAAGTTAGTTGCGACAAAAGTTGTTAATTCTATCTATATATCATAAATATCGAAAAAACATCTTAGAGACACCTGAGCAATACTATATTTGTTGTAGACATCTTTATAATGACGCTAAGATGTGTTTTATAAAATTGTGCTATTTAAATATTTCCTTTTATAGTTAAAAGAAATTTATATGTATTCACAACACAGCTCCTCAACTTTTAATATATATCTTTTTCCGTAGTTATTATTTAATTATATAAAATATTTTATAAATATTGGTAGTCGCATATTTATCTCAATATATTTTTCAGAGAAACATCATTTTTTTGTTCTTCAAATAAAGATACTTCTGCGAAAGAGTAACATATTTTTAATGTAACATGTTTTTTTAATAACACTTATAAATACTATTCCCAAAACGTATCGGCGTCGTACCACTAATAACTATTTCATTGTCTTTCTAGTCAAATTGAAACAATTTCATTGTATGCATCACATTTGTCATATTATTTCTCTCGACTAAGGAATACTTCTAGTTATATTGGCAGTTACAATTTATCTTGTCAACAATTTCCTCGTTACTTACAAACATACTTGTATACGTTACTAGTGTCCTTTGTATTATTATCAGCAAAACATCTATATATAATCCGCACATATGTTTCTGTTATATTCCATTAGTTGTTGAGCTTCGCGCATTATATCAAAATAAATATTACAAATAAAATATTCAAAAACGTTAGTTACTAAGACAAATCACCATGAG